TTTTTTCAACAGGTTGTCACTGGGGAAGTCTCTTTTTTCCGCATAAGAACTATCAGAAAAGCTTAGCTCTTATTTTTTTGTTAAATTTAAATTTTCTGAGATCGCTATACGCTACAGTTTTAGAAGGTTTTACAACATCAGTTGTAGGATTCCAAGTCTACGAGCCATGAGTAAGATGTCTGTGAAAAAGTCACAAAAACATAATGTTCTTGAAACTTTGATAATACCATCAAAAGTCATCCACATAGTGAACTGTCCGTTTTTGAGCATACTGTTCAGACAACGACCGGAAGTCGTCATGAGCTGTACGAATTTGTTAACCAATTGCTAATGATCGGTGATGAAAACGATGATAAAGAGCATGTTGTACTGCTCCATTGCCATTCAAAACCCATGGATGCAGAAATATTGGCAACTGTAGAGACGGCTATCAAACACAAATTTGGTATTCTTGGCTCCAAACGTGTACGCCATTTGATTCGGAAAGTCAAAGAGCAGAAACGGAAAAATGTGCAACTCGTAATTCAGTACGTACTTCTTCTCTTTTGACTTTAATCACTGTACATTCTTTTCAGCTGCGAAGAGTCACTGCTCGATAAGAATACTTTAAGCCGACTCGACGTGTGTCCCTATCAGTACAGTTAGGATTGATTTACCCAGAGATGCAACAATGTGTACTGATGCTGAAACTATTACACGTAGTGCTCAGTGCGATGGTATGATCTATCACCAAAGTTCGGTCGAGACAATGCTCTTCATCACCGTAGTCAAGATAAGCTAAACTTTCCCTCACCCATATACGCAATAATGAGATATTTTACGCTTATAATAAAGAAGTTTTAAATAGTTCTCGACATGTTTATTTTCTTTAATTATTCCTAATTAGGTATGCAACAGTTACAGTTAACTGTGACTATAAAAACTGTCTTAGTTAAACACTGTCACAGTTAAAAATTCTCGGTAGAAGCAAAGACAATTCGAACATTTGGAGTGCGTATAATCGTCCGGAGATATCGTTTACATTAAGTATATGATTTTCATGTTTCGAGAATATTGAAGAGATTGAAATACTGTTTTCCCATCGTTCAAATATTACGTATACAGTCTATCACTAATGTTTGCATCATCATGGTGCATATATCAAAAATCAGTAAATAAATGCAAACGACTATCGACAAGAATGTTATTCACACGTTGATTTAACTCAGAGAATGTTCGAAATATGGTATATACATTACCAGAATGTTTTAGAATAATCATTAGACTTCGTAGTCAGAGTGTTTGATAACAAAGAAACAACCATACCTTTCACGACAAAAGCACTTGAGATGCCTCTCTCGTCAGTAACGTAAGCTTCATAATCTCACTGCGGAATTAGAGTTGTGGAGGTTTTATTTAATCTCAAAGAAATGCCAAGTAATAGCGAAAATCACTGACGTTAAAATTTCTCCTGTCAGAATTACGGCATAGTGCTCTATACTGCTATTTTACTACTGATCAGAACAGACGAGAACTCCTTGTTGTTGACTGTTTGTTGTCCACCACTTAGTCGTTACTTGAAGCATGGTGTGATCAAAATGGAATGGAATCTGGCGCTGTGTAACTGGATACGGTATGGGTGTTTTCGGATTACGAGAACTAGCGTTATTGTTACGGGAGGGTTAGGTTTCGTTTGGGCTGCATTTACTTCCATGTTATATAATATTTATTCAATGTCCAAAAGAAGCAGTGCTCATCCGATATTCTGCCAACTTCTCAGATTAAAATTAAATTAACTAGAGGGGATCCATCTCCAATTGTTATATTAGTCTGAAGTACACAAGTTGTACTATGTACTGATATATTTTCTAAAAAAGACCCTTCTTAGTTTTTGAGATATGTAGCTCTCAATATTAGTGATTTATGTTTACACTCAAAGTTGTTAACAGAAATCAAAATTTTTTTAAATCTAGAAAAACATTAAAAATAAAGCAGAATTTTGGTTTTTCCCAAGAAAAAGCGACCATTTAGGGCCATCGAAAATTCTCGTATTTTTTAGATATGATGCATATTTACCGGCTTGTTCAACACTTGAACTAAACTTCAATACTTCTGTTCTCGACACATTTTGCAACTTCAATCGAGAGAAATGTCGGAGAACACGACCATGATAACACGTTGAATTTGATGAAAGAAGACGTTGTAATGATGATGCGTTAACTAGTTGACGACAATATTTAACACCCTGAATATTTGATTTGATTTTTAACCTATAATTAACTCCTTCGACATCCAAAATATTATTTGATGTATAGTAAATACAATCATAATCCTGGAGTGATTCAGAATTTCCAGTATGATAAACTAATTCATACGTACTCAAATAGGAGAATTGAGAAATAATTGCTGTTACGGGAAGAAAAAGCCAACAAAGTTGGATAAAGAATTGGTAAATATTTTCTTTTTCTTAGGAAAAAATTTCTAATTTGTTATAATTTTTGTAGTCAAAATCATCAGCTAGCTCAAGATCTAGTACAGTGAAACAAACGACAAATGAAAGTGTTAAAGTAAATCTATTAATGATAAATCACATCTATGAACGTGTTTTATGGTGGTAAAATTAGATATGTCTCTTAATTTCTTCTTCCTTTTTCCTGACGTCAACAGAAGAGTTCGGGTAGAGAGAAGAATTTATACTTTAGAACAATCATCACCATAGTGAACGTGATAGTTAGTTGCGAGAATATGATGCAGCTTACGATTTTCTCTTTCTATTCTAGAAAGAGCGAAGTTTTGCTAAAAAAGAGAGAGTGAAATTGGTTTTGTTAATACGATGCTCTAACACTATATATAACCGAAAACTTACGGATGATATATCTACAGTACAGTTCATTTTTCATGATAGTAAATCGTGCAACGGAAAAATACAATTTTGCATAGCTCGTAGATTTTCCTATGCGATGAAGTCCATATCGCCTTTTTATAAGAAAGCTGGATAATAGGTCTCTGGAAAATCTGACCCCTGCAAAAACCAAGTCTTTAGTTTCCGATGAAAAAACTTTCCAAACCATATAGCCGGATAGAGCAAAGAATGCTGGGCAATAATATATTCCCCGGCCGGATAACATATTCGAGATCATCATACAAAACTGTGTCATTCGTTTCATTGAATAGTCACTACGTAATATTTACGAAAGCGATTCAGAGCGCAAAATCTCACAACGCAAATTCGGATTCGAAAGAGTGGAATTAATGTAACAAGAATAGATTTCAAGTTATAGAAACAAAATAAATATTTTACAAAGATGAATGAAAAGTCACATTGTCTAAAGATTATTTTGTGCATCTCTTTCCAGTCCGCCTCGTCAAGTCGGTTCAGTAACAGTTAACATTTTTAACTTCTCCGCTATTTTATATAACAGCAATACAGCTATTATCCTTATTTAATTGATGTACAAACAAGTGAAGGTCTATATTCGCCATTTTTTCGCGTTCTGTAGGCATACAGGCGTTTAAGGTCAAGAACACTCTTCCGTTTGCAATCAAGAGAATAATTAGTTATTTGAAACACTACATGGCATTGTATTACATGTAATCAATCAGAATTTGACCTTTAATCAAAGTCGAAAGAGAGACTTTTTTTAAATATTATAAAATAAAAGAGACGAAAACAAAAAAGCGTTATGAGGTTATCTTTCTTATATTTTGTTTTTATTATTTTTCTTTCCCTTTAATGTATAGGTCTTAAGCTATATGTTGTAGTGAAAACTGGAATTCGGTAAAATTTTTACAACGATGAATGAAAAGTTCCATTGTCTATATTGTATCTCTTTTCTTCTTATTCCCTCCAGTGTCGTACTCTTCGCCACAGAAATTTCTGTTGAACAGTTTGTACCCTTCACTTGTTTGTACATCAATTAAATAAGGATAATAGCTGTATTGCTGTTATATAAAATAGCGCAGAAGTTAAAAATGTTAACTGTTACTGAACCGACTTGACTAGGCGGATCGGAAAGAGATGCACAAAATAACCTTTAGACAATGTGACTTTTCATTCATCTTTGTAAAATATTTGTTTTGTTTCTATAACTTAAAATCTATTCCTGTTACATTAATTCCACTCTTACCTGATCAAATTCCAGATTTCACCACGGATAAGTGGAATCGGCATGCGCATGCATCTCAGTTTTCTGTAGGAAAAACTCGGATTCCACTTTTATCTAGCGAAATCTAGAATTCCACTGGAGAAAACTGGAATCCCGCACATGCATCTCAGTTTTTGCTGAGGAAAACTCGGATTACAGTTTTCGCCAGCGAAACCTAGAATTTCACCGAATTACAGTTTTCACTACAACATATATATATAGATCCAGAATATTTAAAAATCAATATTAACATATTGATTACTTTCAAACAACTTCATAGTAAGTAGTATACACTTTGCACAACCATATAGACTATACTCCAGTAATAGGTTCATTCTAGTATGATAAGACTAGCGAACCGAAACACTGAATCATTTCTTCTCACGAAACGTTTTCATACTGGACTATACAATCGTTTTATTCTTCAAAAGAAAAAAGATGCTTACCTTGATGCCTGGTATGAACTCTTAATCCAAAAAAGGTTCCACATATCTAGACGCATCGATTTTTTTCTTCAGGAGTAGCCAAAGGAAGAATAAGACTATCATACAGGATGTGATCGAGATAGTGGTACGGTAGGGTTTTCTCCCAAGCTAACTTCCAAAAATAAAACTGTAAAAAGAAAGACTCGACCAGGGTTCGACTCTGGTCTGTTGTTTAACGGATTATCATACTATACGGCTTGTCAAGCTAACGGTCCCCTTTTTTATAACCGTGACGCTGTGACAAAAAACCGTCAAAAGTATCACAGCGTCAAGGTTTTTCTGGTTTTTCTTTGATTAATACAGATTAATTAGAATAGTTTTGAACTTAAAAAAACTTTGTAGCTTTACTGCAATAATTTATTGAAAATGAGCGAAAAAAGGGGTTCGTTAGATGGACAAGCCGTATACCGCTCAGGTATCGAGTCATTATACTTCTTCTCTTCCTTGTCTCACCTATATTTGACGAAAAGGCAGAATATAAAAAACAAAATGCGTACACAGACCAAGAAATAAATTCTAAAATAAAAATTAAACCATACAGACAAAAAAGTAAGTCCGAAGGAAAAATAAAATACGTTTTTTTCAAGATAGATCAGTATGTATTTTTGCTGTTGTTTTATTCTATTTTTTAGCTCATCTAACAATGAAAAGTATTCTACCGATAATCGGAGTTGTTTGGACTTTAATAGCATTAGCGCATGGTATTGAATAGTTGTTATAAAAATCAAAAGCTTTTTTCTTTTCCATTTCATTTATTTTAATTTAGGAAAAGCTTGTACAGACTATGCTAGCTATGCAGGACAACAAGTTTGCGATCAATATGGTAAGTATGTGGAAGACGTTATCATTCTTCAATATTACTATAATTTCAACTTTTGTTTCATGTAGGAGGACAATGTGGGCAATGTGTTAGCTTTGTAAAGTATGAATCAATGTTTCATTGAATAGAGAAGCACTTTATTTAAGTTAAATTCTTTAGAATATGTACAAGTGATTATAGAAAAACGAGTCAATGGAAAAGAGGACTAAAAGTAAATATAAGCTTTAATACCTTTTTAACTTCGAATATTTTGCATCGGACTTTACATTTCTTTTTTGAGGTCCGAGAAACATCATCCATTCCTGTCGGCACAGCCATAGCAACATTTCCTAATGGTAATTGATAGAAAAATTTATTCCTTTTCTCTTGCGAACTGAATTTTTGTTTATCAGGTAGATATTCTGGACATGCGGCGATTTACACTGGTCAAAATGATCAAGGGATTCAAGTTTGGGATCAGGTATTATATACACTAGTGCCTAAATAAAGGAAAATATGCATTTAATATTTTAGTGGTCTCGACGTAATGTCACTCCACGTACAATTCGTTGGAACGGATCTGGTATATCAAATAATGGTGATTTATTTTATGTTATCAATTAAAAAGTTTTTTATAAATACGTAATCTGGAATAAATTTCATTTTTTTACTAATACTTTGACAGCTCTATTTTGTTCGGTAAAAGAAAAACTTCCATAGTATAATTTATTTTAATCCATTTCAAGCTTAGTCAAGATTCTTATTTTAATTAAGATATTTGAGAATATTAACTCAGTTATATATTTTCTTTTCGATTTTTCCAAGTCAATATCTAAAATACATATTAAACAAAAGAATTTCTTTTCGCTGTTGTAACGTATCAGAACTGGCTTTTATGATGAAAAAGAGATTCAGGGTGCTTATTAATTATGCGTTTATTTTATTCCTTTTCGAGCATCTTCTATTCTCTATTCACCTTTTTTTTATATACTTATACCGTTTCAAACGATACTGAAATAGTTTCTCAGGTATTCTTCCGCGATCACGGAAGGTATCTCCAAATAAGCTGAAAATTTCACCGCTGATAGTTTGAAATATGCTGAATCTAATAGCACAAAAATAATTTCGAAAAAACATCAGCATTATGGGACGCTAAGTGGTACAAGGTGTTCATAGTCGAGAATAGGGTCATTTTGCCATCCAAGCTTCTCAATGACCAGAGGCCCCCTAATATGTCTGAATTTGCACTGTTCCACCGGGTGCTGCAGATGTTGGTTTTAACGGACAACGAACATTTTCGAATAATATTTAAAAAAATGTTTCTCTTTCGACTGTGATCGAAGGTCGAATTTTAACTGATCACATCTAATACAATGCTATATAATATTTCAAATATGTTATTATAGATTAATATCTACTATCTATTTGACTTTGACTTTAGTTCAAAAATATATTTGAGAAAACTGCAATCATCAGTATAAATTCATGTCACAACAAAAACATATATTTTCACGCTTTTGAGTATTACTACAACCTTTAAAAGGTTGTGCAATATTTCAATGGGTTTTTCCTATTTTAAATCGTTATTCACTGTTCTTTTTACTCTTCTTGGCATTATTGTCACAAGAGTTTCCATCGCAACTACAAACTGAAATGAAGTAAAAACTCATGTGCAGACACAAGATAAAAAAAGTATTCCTTTTACAAAGACAAGACAGTCTTGTTTTTACTTCACTGTAACGCTTCGTACGACATGTTCACTTGAAAATGACCGTATAAGTAGGTCGAAAATTCGTGTTTGAATAATTATTCTATTTATGTGAATAAACTCTTAATTATGTTAAACCAAGTTAACGGTATTTCAGCCGCAATTGCACTAAAGTTCTCATCACATGCAAATTCGCCGTTTTCGAATTGAATTATTCGCAGTTTTCGTAAACTTGACTATGTTAGATATGTTCTTTTCAAAGATCAATTTGTACTTGTTTTCTGTTACATTCATAGGTTATCGGCATCACGAAAAAGCTGACTGTATCTTAACACTGTATCTTTTGCAATTTCGAGAGAAAAGTATTTTTTGAGTTATAAAAGGTACAAGCTTCAAGAAAACAGACTGTTTCTATCATGATTGTTTGCAACATAGTAACATCGCGACTCATTATACACAACATGAAAAAGTATTCCAGATCGTTTGTGATATTTTTCTGGATTCTCTAATCTGTCTACCGCGAATGCAAACAAATGTTACGTTCTATTAAAAATACACTAGTTTTTCGACAATGCTAATTTGGTGCACAGTGAATATTTTTCCGTAGAGTGCGTGAACATCTGGTTTTTGGAGTTAAAATATGATTTTTTTCGCATAATTTTCTCTTATTATGTGTCAAGTGTTAATAGAAGTAAGAAAAAATTTTTTTTCGATGAAAAATACCCGATAAGAACCGTTGTCATGAATAGAAAAAGAATAACAAAAACAGAGCTTTGAACCATTTTATTTTATTTTATTTTAAATTCCGACGTTTGGATTTATTGAAATGATCATTTTCAAGGATATAAGAATACAAAGTCTGAACGGAGTGAGATAAATTATATAGATATAGTTACATGTTTTGTAAAGTTCTTATACTTTCTATGCATTACAAAGAGCAGAGAAAATACTTTTAATTCTTCGATTTTCTGACAAACAAGAACAGTCAAACTTACACGAAATCGACTTCAGAAAAGTTTTCAAAACTTTTCTGAAGTCGATTTAGCGTAAGTCGCGATACCTATAATTTACTTTTTTTGAACACAACGATTTTTACAATGAATACACAATTCATTACATGGAAATTTTTTGTATGGAACTATAAAAGCAACAGAATAAAACTCGTTTGAAACAAGTGAGAATGCACGATAGATAGATAGATTTATTTTATACAAAGGTAGGATATCACAAACAAGCACTAAAAAGAGTGGTGGCATCCGGAATCACCTCATAATAACCTAAACTAAAAAGTTTCTAAAAAGAATCGCTCACAATACTTTATATTTGAACAATAAACATCTGTACTCACATGATGGAAAGTATATGCACTACGGTGGGCTTTGCACGCGTCTGACTAGCACGGTTTGTAGAGAATTTCAAGGGCTAGTCAACCGTATAGTTTTGAGAAAAATATATGAAGAAATGAAAAAGTTATTGCAAAATGGTCTGCCCGATTTTAGGTGAAAACCACAATGTTGTAATGAAAATTCAATATCTCAAGAAAGAAAATGAATTTCGAAAACAGCGAATTTTACTTTTGTATTACAAGTCAAGGCGCGTCTAACGACGTTCGAACTGGTGCTGTATCTCTTAAGACAAAAAACTAGATAACTTTGCGCTGCAAATGGTTAGGCTCGAAGCTGTCCCTATTCAGTTGCGGGCCAAAATTTTATGTTTCGGTCAAGCATCTTGAAACTAACAGCATTCGATGCAGTTTTCGAGACGAAATCTAAAAAGTTTTTTCTCGAGCTTCTGCGTTGAATAGAAAAAAGGTTATGTTCACTACCATTGGTGTCATTGGTTTTATTGTATATATTTTTACATTTTAATACGAATACATGTCTTTACCGAATGTGTTTTATGTTCGCGTATGTGAAACTTAAACCATATCGGTTCTAATGGAAAAATAATCAGGCCTATAATCTGGTTTTCAGTTTACATGACTCTGAAGCGGGTAGGATTATTGAAAATATCCAACTTTGATCAGGATTTGTTTCTCATAATGGTCGGTCAGATTAGTCATCTAGAAACTTCGATGGCGCATGCATCAAACATAATGTAGTGTGTTGGCTACAGTAGCAAAATATTTGAGAAAACATAAGCCGTCGATACATTGAAGTCACACTTTGTTAAACCTACGTGTTAGTATTGTGCTTTTTTGTTAAGGTAGTTGGTGTGACTGAGATCAAAGACAAATAAAATCGGATGTCTTAAGAGTATTATGTTACGTCATACAACCGATATTGTTAAAAGAACTAATTTAATGTTATTCTGAAAAAACTTGATCTACACTCAGCACAAAGCTATAACTAATAGCTTGAATTGCATAGATAAAAAAGTTTGTAATATCTAACTTTTGGCAAACTTTTTTCAGGCTGTTTAACTGTAAAAGTTTAACCGTTGAATAAACAAAAGTGTGATGAACATTTTTTCTTGATATTCTTTCAAAGTCTATCACAATGCGACTAAGAATGAAAATAGTTTTGCTTTATATGTTTTTGTCAAATTGAACCATAGAACATACGAGTTAGAAATACGAGGCGCACTTTCTGTTTACGCCAAATATCTTTTCGGTCGAACTTCAAACAGAACAATGGCTCAAAAAATGTTGAATGAGATCCATTTGTATTGCACGATAGCCACTAATCGGTGACATGATCAAAAAATGGCTATTCACATTATGTTTCTGGACAGACAGTAGTATAAAAGACTTACTATCTATATCAAAATATAATGGACTCCGATATTTCGCTTATAACTTTTTAACGGTGAATGCTACAGACTTGCGGTTTTCAGTTTCTGAAACTAGACACTGAGGCACGTAGATCTGTGAAAAATCATGGCGTTCGATCAGGTTTACCATGCTGTACCATTCGAGGCAAAATCCGAAAGCTTACCGTTCCTAAACAGCACTATGAAATACAATCTCCTATAATACCATTTGATAGCCGAAACATTTCTCTTCAAAACTACGCAAG